CAGATCCCATGGTCCATGTTTGTTGGCCAGCCGCCTTACCGCCCATGTTATTAATTGCGCGGAGTACTCTGAAAATGTATACGTTTTGAGATTCCGGATTTAGTCAGATTTTGAAGATTTACAGATTTTTCGATTCCTGCCAAAAACCGCTAACTTTCTCAACACGATTTTTCTAGACCAAGGTAGTTGATGGTCCAGAAATGATCCAACATGCACCTGATGTGTTTTCTTGGCTATTTTCCAAGGTGGCCTAACTTTCGTGAGCTGAGTTTTCTAGGCCACCATGGTAACTTGCTCAAAAATACACACGGTGATTATCAGGCTATTACAAGGCCATTTATGACGGTGGTCTAGAAAACTCAACTTGCAAAATTTAGGCCACTATGCGAAAATGGTCTAAAACGGCCTGGTGTGATTTTGGGTCATTTTAGCATGGTGGCCTAACTTTTACAAGTTGAGATTTCTAGAGTATCAGTCTGCTATACTAACATGGCCTAGAAATTAAAAAAATTGAATTCTGAAATCACTGACCCCGGATGAATATCCAATCTGATTTTGTGATTGATTTTCTCAGTGATCGGAAGATTTGTCTTGTTCAGAGTGTAGTCAATGAGAGGTAGCAGAAGGGTCTGGAACAAAGCTTTTCATTGAGTTACTGTATGTAAACCCGTAATAGAAGGACCCTAACTTTAACCGTTTTTATCTCCGTTTCCATAAGAGATATCAAGAAATTTTCAACTGACAAAATATTTTTGAGATTCTGATAAACAATTTGTTAGTAAACCACTTTTTGATATCTTTCACAGGAAATGAGATGTATAGGACAGCAAAGGGGTACAGGTTGACAGCTAGGGGGTAAGGTATCTGAATTTTCTCCAAACTCACCACATTATACCCTTCGTCTTGCAAGATATGAGCTACAGTACTCATGAACTTCAAATGAGAATGCCCGGTAACTGGTAGCCAAACCAGCACCTTTTTTCCTTGGATTTCAGGATTTTTTGAGCAGACAACTGCTCCAAGCAGGACAAAAGTTAAGGAGAAAATCATAGTGAAATAGAGGCTAATAAATGTGAAAATGACAGTTTCAACCACTCATTTTATGCTCCCAGATCCTATATCATCGGACTTTTTGCTTCATTTTTTTTCAATTTTATTGTCCTACAGTTAGCTGATAAGCAAAGTGCCCTAAATTGTTCACTGTTTCGAAAGTGTCTCTCTTGTCATATGCTACAAAATTCAAGGGAATGATGAGAAACATCTGTTGTCTCTGTAATGTATTCTAAGCAGTTGTACACATGTCACCCAATGTGAATTCTGGAGGCAGGAGACGTTGTCAATCTGAATTTTTAATGACAAATCGTTTGTCTCGAGAATTGTCTGGGACAGGACAATTTGTACATTTTTATGAGATTTTTTTTGGTTTTGTTTCAAAGTTTCTGTATCATGGTACTTTTTTGATAAGGAAATAGAAAGAAAAGACAGCAATAAAAAATTTTTGGTACTTTTCGTACGTTGTAGCCTATAGAAAAAATGTTGAAATTTTGAAGCTCAAAAAATTAAAAAAAATCTGAATGTTTGAAAATCTGAAAATCGAAAATACTGGATTCCAAGGTTTAGAGTTGAAGAATTTCAGAATCTCTGGATTCTATAAGTTTCGAATTTTGAAATCTTGGAATTTCAAAATTTAGGATATTCTGAAATTCAGAATTTTAGAATTTTAGAATTTTAGAATTTTAGAATTTTAGAATTTTAGAATTTTAGAATTTTAGAATTTTGAAATTTTAGAATTTTAGAATTTTAGAATTTTAGAATTTTAGAATTTTAGAATTTTAGAATTTTAGAATTTTAGAATTTTAGAATTTTAGAATTTTAGAATTTTAGAATTTTAGAATTTTAGAATTTTAGAATTTTAGAATTTTAGAATTTTAGAATTTTAGAATTTTAGAATTTTAAAATTTTAGAATTTTAGAATTTTAGAATTTTAGAATTTTAGAATTTTAGAATTTTAGAATTTTAGAATTTTAGACTTTTAGAATTTTAGAATTTTAGAATTTTAGAATTTTAGAATTTTAGAATTTTAGCATTTTAGAATTTTAGAATTTTAGAATTTTAGAATTTTAGAATTTTAGAATTTTAGAATTTTAGAATTTTAGAATTTTAGAATTTTAGAATTTTAGAATTTTAGAATTTTGAAATTTTAGAATTTTAGAATTTTAGAATTTCAGATTTTGAAAGTTGAGAACTTTGGAATTTTAGAAATTCTGAAATTCTGAAATTCTGAAACTTTGAGATTCTGAAATTCTGAAATTCTGAAATTCTGAAATGCAAAAATCCAGAAATTAATTCAGAATTTCAGAATTTCAGAACTTTGGAATTTCAGAATTTCAAAATTTTGAAAGTTCAGCATTTTGGAAATCCTGGAAATTCTGGAAATTCTAGAAGTTCTGAAATTTGAAAAATTAAGAAATCCAGAATCTCTGGATTTCTGAGTGTCAGAATTTGAGAATTTCAGATTTTCAGATTTTTCCATTTCCACACTTTCTGATTTCAAGTTTTTCCGTTTTCAAATTTTTAGTTTTCAGATTTTCTCAATTTCTGAAATTCAGAAATTCAGAACTTGATACTATTGAGCGTCAATTTTTTAAACGTTTTTCTAGAATCTGAAATTCTTAAACTCGTTAGTGTATTTATGTTTTCCTGAATTCTATAAACATGAATTCTTGATTTTGACCCAAGGTATACTGTATGCTCTAAACTATGATTTCATGATTCAAAGAAAAAAATGAAGTCATTTCTTAAAATTTATCACCGTGCTCAATATGTCATTCGTCTTTCATAGCACGGTTTTTTCCGTGATAACGACGTGCACAAAATTTAAATTTGTGTAAAATATTACAGGAAACCCAGAAATTACTTTTGTTTAGGTTTTTGATTTCTGACTGATTGTGTAAACAATAGAAAGAGAGGGTGGAGGTGTTGCTTATCAATTTGTGATTAGTTTTTGCATCGCATGGTTAGAGATGCAAAATTAGAAAAAAGATAGGAGAAAGCGGGGAATAGAAATTGACGAAAATACAAGTTGAACAAAAAGGGAAAGTCCTAGGTTTGAGGGACCAAAATGAAAAAAAAGAATTTTAAAAAATCAGTGGTCCCATTTTTGAAGTCAGATGACAAATTTGCTATCAGATGGCAATTTAGATTCACCAGAGGGCATCGAAATGCCAAGTAAATAACCAGTTGTTCTTTAAAGTTGATCTAGATCGTTGCGACTGTAGCCAACTGTGGTATACTGTAGGTCTAACATGTCGAAGATCGGTTCTTTTAAAATTTTTTGTAGGAATCTGTCAATCAAAGAGTTG